CCCACCCTGACAAAAACCCACCACCTGGCTTCTTTAGCCAATGGGAGGTAAGAGAGGTACAGAAGGAATGCTGAGGAAGCCACAGTGTTAGATACCATTGTGCTGGGCTTCTCCTTTTTATCCAGGTAAGTCCTACTCATTGTTTGGGGCTCAGCACAAACATCACTTACTCAGAGAAACCTTCCCTGAACCCTTCTCAACAGCTCCACGTATGCACGAGGCCTCTCTGTTGTATACTGACACAGCCCCCTGCTCCGCTTCCTATCATCTATTGCCATGGCTGTAAGTAATTGAGTTACTCTGATGTGTCTCCCGCCCCCACGGAATGTCAGCTCCAGAGGGCAGGTCCGTGTCTGCCTTTTTCGTGGCAGTGCCTATAGCTACTAGTACAGTGTTTTGTACATTATAGGTGCTCATTTAAATGTGTTGCCTAAACCAATCAAAATAATAAATAAAATCTTAGATTACAGAAAAGTATGAAGAAACAGTAAACCATTCAATCAGCATATCCCTATCTGAAGATTACCAATGCCAACAATTTTTCCCATTCTTTTTCCTATGAATATACATTTTTGCATGATTGGGTTTATGCAGCATATATAATTTTGTATTTTTGGTTTTTAACTGACATCGTAATGCATATATTTATGGAACCATTTCCTTATGAATGGGCCTATGCAAATCTCTACTTTTGAGGACTTGACAGTATCCCTATCTGAAGATTACCAATGCCAACAATTTTTCCCATTCTTTTTCCTATGAATATACATTTTTGCATGATTGGGTTTATGCAGCATATATAATTTTGTATTTTTGGTTTTTAACTGACATCGTAATGCATATATTTATGGAACCATTTCCTTATGAATGGGCCTATGCAAATCTCTACTTTTGAGGACTTGATCTATTTTCTATATAATAAAAGCCTAAGCGGCTGGTAAGGTGGAACGACCAGAATGACCAGTCGTTATGATGTGCACTGACCACCATGGGACAGACGCTCAACACAGGAGCTGCCCCCTGGTGGTCAGTGCACTCCCACAGGGGGAGCGCTGCTTCAGCCAGAAGCCGGGCTTGCTGCTGGTGAGCACAGTGGCGGTGGCGGGAGCCTCTTCCACCTCCATGGCAGTGCTAAGGAGCAGTGAGCTGAATGGTAAGGAGCAACGAGCAGGCAGGCAGTAAGGAGCGAGGGTTCCCGGACTGCGAGAGGGTGCTGAGCGGTTCCCCCACCCCCGCCAGTGCACGAATTTCATGCACCAGGCCTCTAGTTTACTTATAAGCAAACACTGTGATGGGCATTCTTTTGCACAACTTCCCATTTATAGTTTAGATCAGTCATATTCTTGGAAGTGGATTGCAGGCACAAAGGACATGATGAATTTTAAACTTTTTCTGCAAATGCTAGTCATGCCATTGGTGTATGAAGCATAGGCAGCAAAATGATGTTTTGGGCCAGAGAATGGACCCAACATGTATCTGTTAAGCGAAGTGAAACTGGCCTTCGATATCATAGTAATAGTGATATTCTAAAGACATCCCATGTATTTAGGAAGAATTAAATTCATCCCCAGATTATGCAAATCTGGGATTGTTTATTTTGAGATTTGCTGAGAAGATTCAAAAAGGCAGACATGGACCTGCCCTCTGGAGCTGGCATTCCATGGGGATGGAAGAGGAGGTATTCTTTACAAAAATGCTAAAAATACAGTTTCTGTGTTCCTGACATTAAAAAAAAATATTTCTCGTAATCCCCACCGCTCGTAAATCCTTGTGTTCCTTCCTGTCACGGTTTTTCTTTTTCCTTTTTCCCCTCCTGTCTTCCACTCACTGCCATAGAGCGTGGGCTCTCCGGGAGCGCAGGCCTTCGGCTGCATTCTGAGTGCTAACGTGGGTTAGTTTCTAAAAAGACAAAAAGATAAACTCTGATCTGTCCTGTGAAACAGTTGAGCACCTTGTGGGGCTCTGAGACTGAGACTATGTGAGAACGTTAATTTTTTCTTTTGCTTTTCCTTTTCATCCCCAGAAAGGGAGCCCATGGAGTTGTTATCTTCATCCTCTGGCTCATTCTGATCTTTTCCAAGCAGAGCGACAGGGCTCTGTGATCCTGTGCAGAATATTTATTTCTCTCAGAAAGATTTCTGGGAGATATATTCCCCGTTTGGCACAGAAGTCATTCCCCCAGTCACTCTTTCAGGAATATTTAGTGTGTGTGTGTGTGTGTGTGTGTGTGTGTGTGTGTGTGTGTATGTGTGCGCGCATTATTTGTTGGGGCCCCTGCTGGCCACTGGAGACACTAGGAGGAAAGATCAGCCATGCCCTCAGGAAGGCTGCAATCTAGTGGGAAGCTGATAAGCATGGTAATCACCACGAATGGGCTAGGATGCTGGCAGAGGGCTGCCCAGGGCAGCGGAAATCAGGGTGAGATTCCAGAGGAAGTGGCACCCGGGGGTGGCTCAGAGGCTGTGCTATTCCCAGACACAGTAGAAGCCTTGTGCTCCCTGATATCTGGTCATGGGCATCTATGGGCTGTTTCAGACACAAATCCTTATCATCCCGTTCATTAGCCTTGCCCAGGGTCTTCCCATCAAAACTTTGGAGAGTTGCAGTGTGGACCCAGAAGTGCCCAGGTCTTGGAGGCTGAAAGGGTTAGAAATTCAATCCTGCTATCTGCTTGCTGTGTGGCCCCCAACAATTCCCCTAAACTCAGAGAGGCTCAGTGTCCTCCTCTGTAGAATGGGACTCAACTTGAGTAGGGTGGTGCATGCCAGCCACTTTGGCGCTTGGAGCATGAAGCTGTTGGAAGAGTGTACCCAGGGCCGGTTTCAGAGCTGCGTGCCTGTGAACACCGCCCAAGTGGTGGGTTGCAACACGTAATCCTGCCCCCTGTGAACTGGTGACCTCCCTGGCCACGGAAGCAGACAGGTCATTTAAAAAATGTAATTTTCGCATTGACATTCTTCACGCTAAGCCCAGGGCAGCGCGGCCTTTCTGCTCAGGGAGAGCTCCGGGGCAGTAACCCAGAGAGAAGAGGCAGCCCTCACTTGGCCATTCTGCGCCCAGGCTGCTGACAAAAGAATTGTGCAAATGAACCTTTAAATCCGTAAATAGTGCCCCCACAATGCGGGGAAGAATGCGGCGGCGACAAAGGGCAATATTCACAGTTTATCTCAGGGTGATGGATCTGAATGGACGCATGAACGCGGGTTTGTTAGAGAAAGAGCAGGCCACAGCCCCCCGCCGGGAACCCAGTGGCCACAGTCTGCAGTGCAAACAGTCAGTCTAAATCCCCAACAATTAGGGGAAACCAAGCTGCCATTATCTGAACTTCAACTTGTTCTCATGATTGATATGGGAAATGAAAAGTTGTACCCGGCTCGGGGAAGGCTCTGCTCGCCCTCACCGCACACAGGGCCTCCGAGAAGGTGCACAATGTATATTTCATACACACGTGCGTGGCCTGCATGCCATCCCGATCAGCACCGGGACGCATCAGATCTGCACCTCAGTCCAATATCCCTCTCCCATCAGAGTTCTCTGAAAATCGAACTCGATATCCCAGTAAATGGCCTCAGATCACATATCCAGTCCAATATCCCTCTCCCATCGGAGTTCTCTGAAAATCGAACTCGATATCCCAGTAAATGACCATTTTCAAGACACAGGATGAGATTTTTTCTCTGTAGGTGGAGGCTGCATGACCTTGATCTGGTCAGCTAGTCTTATGTGCACCTCAGTTTTGTCAGCTGTAAAATGGGCATAAGTCCTACTTCACAGAAAAGTATGTGACTTGATGAGTTTGGTTCCTGGCACTGTTAGGTACTCAATAGATATGAAATGCCTTCATTCATTCATTCATTCATTCATTCATTCATTCATTCATTCATTCATGAGATTTTTTCTCTGTAGGTGGAGGCTGCATGACCTTGATCTGGTCAGCTAGTCTTATGTGCACCTCAGTTTTGTCAGCTGTAAAATGGGCATAAGTCCTACTTCACAGAAAAATATGTGACTTGATGAGTTTGGTCCCTGGCACTGTTAGGTACTTAATAGATATGAAATACATTCATTCATTCACTCATTCATTCATTCATTTTCTTAGAGCCTGAGCATTTGCTGAGTCCCAGTCACTCTGCTCAGTGAAGAGAATGGTTCAAATGTGAATAAGACACCTCTTGGCTTTGTGGGGTGTGACGTGGGGCCAGTGAGCAGGAAGAGCCGGATTTGTACCCAACAGCCTGTTTTACGCCTTTCAAGGGCTGGGGCTGTGGCTTCTTTGAGTCTCCAGTTTCTTGGCTCAGAGTCAGAGCCGCACGGTATTTGTTGAGCTGAAGGGAACCCGGTGTGGTGGGGAGGGACAGGGCACAAGGTGTGAAGCCTTTGATGGGGCCTTGCAGGGTGATGGGAGGTGAGAGGATGATGTGAAGGGGAAAGGCATCCTTCCCAGCTGCAGAAACAGCCCAGCAGGAGCTGGGAAGCAGGGCTGCACATAGCCTGGTCGCTGGAGCGTGGGGTTCACAGAAGGGAAATGCTGGTGCAGAGGCTGGAAAAATAGGGAGAGCATCCAGGGTCTTGATGTGGACAATAGGGAGTGATGGAATGTTCTGGAGCAAGGGAGGGACATGTGATCCCTGTGCTGGGAAGGCCCTCTGAGGCTGGCTTGCCTAGGACACTGCAGTGGGGCAGGAGTGGCCTGCAGAAAGCAGGGTTAACAGGGCTTGGCAACTCATTGGATGTGGGGATAGAGGGGTCAAAGGTGACAAAGGTTGTGAGCCTTCCGCTCCAATTCATTAATTAATGCAACTCTTCTTATTTCTTTCTAAGAGAAAGGAATGTCAGAATTCCACACTAGTTGCCAGGGACTTATATAACCAATCAACTAATTAACTGGGCACACTTTCAGGGTGAGAAGCAGAGGAAGCAGACTTTCTAAAATCATTCCATCCTTGCAACATGCTCACGTGGGAACTCTTGCCTCTTCTATTGCACAGATTGGGAAACTGAGGCCCAGTGGCTTAAAGGAATGATTTGCTCCAGTCTGAGCTGGGATTTGAACCAGGGTCTTTCTGATGAGAAAGCCATCCCCTTTCTTTGATGCTAAACCGCTTCTGGTGAGGCCGGCCGGAGGCAGGCATGCGATGGCACAGAAAGGCCTGCCCTGGGCCACCAGGACAGCGGCTGAGACACAGACTTCCAAGAACCCTCTTCAAAGCGGCCGGAGGCATTCAGCAAGGCCGGCATTCATGCTGGAAGGATTTCTCCATTGTCTCCACCAGCAGAGGTAAGTGACATCTTGAACGCCTCAAGAAGATTAAATAGCCCGGCTCTGTCGGAAAGCTTAAAAAAAAAAAAAAAAGGAGTGAGAGAGAGAGAGAGAAGAAAGGGCCCAAGTTGGCTATTATAGAGCTGGTCCTTTTTTGTGGGAGAAAGCGCTTTCGAGCACTATTGGAAGAAGCAGGCCCAGATAAGAAGACAATGATGGGAGCGACAGAGCTCCGAGAGGAACCCGGCCGGCGCTGTGAATGCGGATTACCGCGTCCCAGCCGCCAAAGCAAAGGGGAACCCTGGTCAGGAGGAAAATGAGGAATTACTGTTTTCCCTTCCCCTCGGAGACTCCAGTTCACTGCGCAGCGACAATGCGTGATGGGGGGCACTTGACATGCCCCTCTTCCAGGCCATGTTGGCACCCCATGTGGGGCCCCCGAGAAACAAGGGGGGCGCAAACCCAAACAAAGCCGATCTTAACCCAATAAACTCACCCCACATTCTCGAATAGAAACAATGGACACTTGGGATGCTGAGTATTTGTCCATGGCCCAAACACGGGGGACAAGCAGGAGCTTGGCTCTGCGGATGTTTGAACATGTGCACATTTCATCTTTTTAAGAGAATTTCTTTCAATTTTAGTTTGCAATGGAAGGTAGGCCAGCACTGTTTGTGGCTTCAGTAGAACTTGTTTTCGGTAGGTGATGAGGATGTGGACTTTGGAGAACGAGGGGACCTAATTTGCTCAGTTCCTGGGAACATGATTTGCATTTAAAAAAAAAAAAAT